CTTAGCGAGTACTTTAAATCTGAAGAGAACTAGTTTTAATTAAAATTTGAAAAAGTAGTGGGAATAACGAACAAACAACGAAAACACTGAAAAAACGAATACAAATGTCAGTCATGTCAGTTCAATAAACAATGTAGGTAAGTAATCAAAGAAAAACAAAAACCCCATCAGCTGTTATAACAGGAACATGTGCAAGGCTACAAACTTAAATACGAAATTCCATAGCCACCTATTATGCCAATTTAAATTAAATCTACTTTATTTATAAATCTCTAAATATTATCATTGCAAGGAAACTTTATATTAAGCTTTTGCATTTTCATCTCATTCGAGTCTAACTTAAAAAAATATAAACGTAAATGAACAGTGTAATTTGACTAGAATAACTTCTTATTTTTTATATTAGGTAATTATGAGATTAGTTAAAATGCTTAATATTAGAAACAGGTTAACCTTCAACTGCTGAAATTGTAGTAAACTTTAGCTTTAACACGTATGTTTGTGAAATGCAATTAATTCGTTTGTTGCTGGAGTGTTTAGACCCTGCGGGGTGTCCCAACGTTGGTTTAAAAATGTTGAAGTAAATTTGTTAAACATATACCGAGAAGGGTACAAAGAGGTCATCACATTGAAATTCTCCCCATAAATAAGACTTCTGTATGAAACCCGAATGTGAGATGTACAAAATGAAATTAAACGCCATATATTCGGCATAAAGCGCCATTGTTAAAGCACATAACACGAGACAGGCGGAATAGTACAGTAAAATAAAAACATATTGCGCTAATATTAGCTGTAAATGTGGCCATTATCCATTCAAAGTATCGCGCGATCCCTGCCGGACAAGCTCGTAAATTCCTCTTCGTGTCCCGATTTTGATCCGCCCCAAGGAGCGAAAAATATTGAGATCACTGTTCGCATTATAAGTACACACCAAAACACAAAGCTTTCATTATGCTGACTTTTAAAGTAGAAACAACGAAAATTAAACAACAAAGGTCGACGTTCCATCCGATTTCCATCCCGTTTAGTTGAACGTAAACGAATCAAATTAAAAAGCCGGGACGCTTATAAAATGACATTACTGACCATGCAAAGCAAGCGCACCTTTGTGAACGAGGCAGCTTGTCTGGCAAATTAAATTTTCGTGTCCCCGCATGCCCACTCTTTGACTTGCAATTGTTGGATGGATTCAGAGGGCCACTCATCAAGGAAGCGTGCAATAATTCCGGACGAAACGAATCCACTTCACTGTAACTTGCAATTCCAGGATCATTATTTTTGAATCCTTGACCCCTTGCAATTTGCGTAGCGCTGAAGGACTTCGATTGCCCGGAAAATTAACACAACATCAGGTTCTTCAACTTTAGACCGAGTTCAACAAAACAATATTTTTTATGTTGTTTTACAATAATACACTTTATAATAGAAATTGCTTTCACAGTCAACCAACAATATTTATTCCGTGCGACACAAAAATTTCGTTCATAATTACTAGAACTTATTTTTATTAGAAGATAGTGTACATAAAAAAGCTGCATAATTTCCATATAAAATTTCCCTGGAAAAGGGAAAACTCAGACCGACTGAGTAAATATTGTGTTAGCGCGAGCTATTAAATTTTTGTACCATGAAAACGAAACTTTGCATCTCGAGAAAAATGAGTGGGTTAAAGTGTATAATAAATTCTTGACATTTTGTAGGAAGGAAGATGAAGGAGCCCATTTAAGTTTAAATTTGCTTTATAATTTGTGGGCGCTCGTTAAATTAAGAAATGTAAAATTTTTACTATGTGTATGAAACTTACATTAAATTGAACAATTAAGAAACTGAAAGTGGCCATGAATAATTTTTTTACTAACGAGATATACTATGGATTTGCTTGAGTCATCAGCCACTGGGTGATTAAAATAATAATAAAATCTCTGCTTAAACGCTTTCGTGACATGTTTTTGAAATTTTACTACCTTTTTACTCACCGCGACAAGATGTAAAAGCACTGGAGGGTAAGTAATAAATCTTATCTAACATTGCCAGGAAGGAATTGTGCTGGATAAGTAGATAAAGTTATCTTTGTAAAATGCAAATATCGGGATTACCCCTAAATAACAAATTCTTTTCAAGCTACTTCTTGCAATTTTGTACTATTTTGCAACACTACATACCTGAATCTTAAATCTACACCAAAAACAAGCTGTTTGCAATTGAAGCACCTCAATGCACTAAAATAAACAACTTCAGGAGACGAAACCTGTAAAATGTTATAAAAACTCAATTGTTTTTTAAACAAAAGAACTTAAAAATTCTCAAATTCAAATTCCAGACTTTCAACCCCTGTCATTTTTTTCTTGATTTTGGACTTACGTAAAATAATTTTTCTCTGCTTTTTAAATATTGGCGGTTTAATTTTTCTGCCAATGCCAAAAATGTTTGTGAAAAACACAATTTTGATAAATAGCAACTCAAAGAAACAGCTTTAAGATAAAAAACAAAGTCATTTTTAACAAGAACTATCATCACAATTAATTGTAAAAGTGACATATAGTTGTCAAATAAATAAAACCGCCAATGTGATAGGACTTAAAAAGCAGAGAAAAATTATTCAAAGTCCAAAATCAAGAGAAAAATTAACTTTTCTTTTCACTGAATCAGAATAATGAAGTTCTAACTACGGATTTGCTCGTTTTAGGTGAAGCAAAAAATATTTTCCTTTACAGTTTTGGCGTAAAATGAAAGATAAAAAAAAAATTCTCTTGTAAGCTCAATCCAGAGACATGCTGTATATGTTATTGTTGTAGGAGGCTAGAAAAATATTCAACCAGTTCCAACGTCTAATCATTTTGTATCTTTTTTCGGTTACTTAGAAAATCAGTTGGTAACTGCTTATTCATGAATAAAATAGTGATTAAAAAACAAAACACAATGTATTGTGTTGAATACGGCTAGGGTGAACATCAGAAATACAACATTTTCAATACCTACAAGCTGTTTTGAAGTAAATTTAATTTTATTGTAATATTTAGATAAAGGGAAAATGTTTATTATAATATATTGTTGACAGTGTAATAATAATAATTGGTGTCAGGTCGTTTTATTTAAATCACGATAAAATATATTTTCACACATAATATTGTTTCTAATTAACAATTTAAATGCATGTAGTTGCCAAAAATTGCCATCTGAGACCTTTACAGCTTGTATAGTGCCAGTCCATTATCAACACAGTTCATCCGAAAATTCCATTATTTCGTGCAAAGATCCGTGTTTAGCATTTCCGCTACTTTCGTAGTTTAAAGTTAAGCGTATTTAATGCAAGTGTCGCTCGAGAACAACCGTATCTTAGAAGATTATAACCCCATGTTGTACCGCCCGTCAGGCCAAACCGAAGTTCTCACAGCAAGCATCCGCTGCGGTTATGTAATTACTTATTCCAAGTGCTAAACGACTTGGCAAATAACTTGTTACTTCCTCGCCCCTTTTCGGAACGAGCTTGCTTCCTTTTTTCCCATACAATTCGTAATTACATTAAACCGTTACAAAATGAAACAAACAATGTGAGAAAATTCCGCCGCCATAAATCCTCCAGCGCAAAAAGAAAGTTAATTAAAATTAAGGAAAAGTTGCAGTTGAAAACCCTTAAAGGAGATAATTTTCTGTTCAATGTTTTAAAACAGGAAAATTTCATTATTGTTTTATTAGCGCTTCAGCTTCGCAATCTATCTCGCTTAATGTTATAATCTTTCAAGGATTCTTAGCCCCAACATTCCAAGTTTACACAAACTGAAAACTAGTTGTATACATCTTGCAATGCAAAAGCTTTCAATTGAAAACATTTCTGGTTTGATTTCAGACGCCCCCGTGTGCAAACAGGACCGAGAAGAGTTATATGGCGCGTTGAAGCAAGAGACCGTGACTTTGCGCTGTCAGGTCGACGCCAATCCTGCCATAGTGACCTTCCACTGGACGTTCAACAACTCCGGGGACCTGACCGAAGTTCCGGCCAACAGGTTCACAAACGAGCTCTCTTCCTCCCGACTCAACTATACGCCTGTCTCGGACCTGGACTACGGCACACTCCTGTGTTGGGGTGACAACGATGTGGGTCACCAGAAGGTCCCCTGCGTCTTCCAAGTAGTCATAGCGGGTAACATTCGCAAATATTTTCTCTCCTGCAAATAAAAACACAATAATGTTGCCTATGATAACATAAATTGCAATAAGCTCCGCAGTCGTACATTTTCATAAGCTGCCATGAATTTTCGCCCAAATAATATTTCGAAATAGCAGCGTTTCGAGTGTAAAAACCCGACTCGAGAAATATAAAAGGCTCATTTATACATAAAACATTCCTGTCCGGCCTCTTCTTTGTTTTTCATTCGACGCCCCGTTATTATTACACCTCAAATCGGAATATCAAACCGTGTAAACACAATTCTTTGTTTCTTATCAAAGAGGAGGCAGAAGACCCAAAATCCGGCCAAACACCGGAAGTATGGACATTCGTAACTGTAATTAAAAAAGATTGAGGAGTAAACTGTCAAATGGAAATAAAAATCAGGTTGAACTATTTTATTTTTTGTTCGCTTTGTGCACTATGTTTCTATTGATTTCATTTTGTGAATCTACAGGATTTACATTCACCCCGAATATAAATATGTACACTGGCGGACACGGAATTTTGGACGATTTGTCATTCGACTGACATAAAGATGTAAAACGGACCTTAAGAACTAACCTCACTTTCGGTTTTGTAATTTTTATCCTGAGAGCAAGAGAAAAAATGACAACAAAATAATCAAAAAAAAAATAATTTATTAAACTTATATAAAAACACGTTTTGCTGGCATTAAAAAATAAATTTCAACTAAAACTTTCAAATTTTAGTTTCAAAAGTCAATCATAATGACAATAAAGCGTGGCTTACATTGACATTTTCTGCACTGTCACAAATTTGATGTCCAAAATTCCGTGTCCGCCAATGGATTAATAAATGTCGGATCGTTTTAAAAGTCGATTTTTGGTAAAATAAATATGAGAATTTAATATATAAGGCCGGGTTCGACTAAGGCCGCGTTTTAATTAGAGCCAAGTGCGGAAGTGAGACATTAAGTAACTCAATCGAGTGCCCCTTCTTGGACTGAGAAATCGTCCAACATTACGCCACCTGCAGCAATTTCGTTTGCTTTATAAAGTAATTATATCACTTGCACGAAGGCTTGGCTCTTATTAATTTCAAACGGGCCATAGAACGTTCACACGTCTCGAACTTTGAGTTTCAGAACTTTATATGGGGCACATTAAAGGAAAGAAATGGACCCCATCATGTGTAATGAGATCGTAGGTTCGGCGAAATTGTTTTACACTAAGGAAGGAATGAGAACGAAAATTTTAGCATATGAGTGAAGTGGAAGAGAAATGGGCAAACGACGTGCGAAAAAATTCAAATTCATATCTAGATCAAAGAAAATGCTGCGTTGTACAAGTCGTGTATGTCAAGTGCTTGTGTTACGTGTTCCACTCTTATCATCTAAACGGATTTGCCCTTGTTTCACATAAATAAATTATTATTGCAATTATTATTTGATTCGTATGGATCCGTTGACGTTAGCAATTAGCCTTGAGAACTTGATTCTTTGCATTTTTATAGGTTACAAACTTGATTAGAAATATAGGGTGGTTGCTTTGTTCAAGAGAGTACCGATTTATGAATAATTATTTATGAAGAACGATTTCAGTTAAATAGCTGCCCCGGCTGACTTGGCAGTAGCCCATTCTCTTGACCCAATTTTCCAATACATTGTTGATTACACAGGTCAACAAGGGTTCGGTAACGTTGATGACAATTTGGTCAATAGTATTTTTTTTAGTTTCTAAATAACAAAATACATTTAATTTTTTGATAACACGTACCGGTTATTTGTTGCATTTTTTACCAATAATTTAATTAATACATTTTCTGCACTCCCACTTGGATTTTTTTCTAATAAATCTGGGGCCTGTTAGTGACGAATAAGAAGAGCGGTTTCACCAAGACATCAGAAAGATGAAAGAACGCTGTCAAGGCCGCTGGAACCCTTCCATGATAGGCGATTACTGTAGCTTTTTTAAAACGCGACAGTAACGTACCTAACAAAAAAAAATGTTGAGATTTCACTCTTTTATTGTAATATAAAGTTATATGCTCATAATAATTAATAATAATTTAATTTATTTTAATAAATTAAATAGTGGAATTATTTTCTGTACTATTTTGCTTTAACATGGGTGTCAGAACGAAGGTGGTAACATACGAATGATACGTGATGAAACATTTTTGTGAAAATTTTCGCAATCAGAGTGAAAAAGGTGAAGGTACTCGTAGTTTAATCAATGAAACGAAAATTTGTTCAAATTTGTTGACCAGTGTTATTTGTCCCTATTTCACGAATAGCTCGATGGATGTTTTCTTTAACTGTCAATGGTTTGTGGATCGTTGGAGTATCTTTAACAATTTTCCATAAAAAATGTCAAATCGCAATTCGACCAAAAATTTTTTTCTCAACTTTCGCACAGTTTTTGCAGCACAGCTCTCATTTTGAATATCATTTTTCAATATTTCCCAGCGTTGTTCAAACGTAAAACAATTTTTTTATTAAACCGGAGGTTTGACACTATAACATGTCAATATGTCAGGCGTGTCAGAGTTGCTAATGTGAAAATAACACGCACTTCAAAAAGAAACTAGAAAATGGCCCACATTATGCGTTTTGAGCTATTCCGGCGCATTCACCATTTTCACATGCAAGTCAAAAATTACCAATTTTATTGTTATAAATTATAACCAGTTAATCTCAAGAGTTCATTTAGAAGACAAAATATTTGTTATTTTTAGAAATAATGAAATAATGAAACAAATTAAAATTAAATAATAATAAATAATAGTAGATTATGTTATTAGGAGTAAAAGTGGCGAAGGTGAACGATCATTTTGCCGAACGGAGTGAGGTAAGTGGATTTAGCTGAGCCACATAAACTCACTTTTACTCCAAATAACATATACTATTTTATCTGCAAACGATTCAGATGGAGAGAAAAGAGCAACACACCAATAATCAAGTAAATCACCTCAATAATCAGGACGCTTTGCAATAAAATCATAACAAACATCATGCGTCAGTTTCGGAATTTGTGTTGAGATTTCGAAAGTGTTGATTGATTTAACTGGTGAATAACTGGTGTAGTTTATAGTGCAAAATGTCGAATGCTGATACTGCCTTGTACCTCCCCAGAAAATGCTGAAAAAGCGAAAGAGACAAGAAAGAGCCAACAGTGGTAAATATCAAAGTAAGTGTCAAGTAAAAGTGAAAACGCCTAGGCGTAAAAACAGTGTTTTTACTCCATGTCTGAAAAGTAAAACTTTTACCTGTATCATTTAGTCATAAAAGTGGTCACTTTTGTGACGTTTGCAGATAAAAGATTTTTATTTCCTTCCTATTTTCCGATTATTTACTTGGTTTTACCAACATTCGAATTCTATTTTATATGAAAAGTAAAAAAAAATACTTATACAACAAATAAAAAATCTTCCAACCTGAACTTATAACAAATATTATAAATCGTTAGCGCACTTTGAAAATCGATTACGGCAATTCCTTGCAGACAAACACGATGACCAAACAAGCTAACATTAAATTATATGCTTGAATGCCAACTAAGCAAATTTACAATCAAAGCTTAGTGGATTTGCTTGAAAGCTGAAACTGCGCTCACATTAGAACTCAAGATGCTTTTAATTCAAAGCTGCATTCATATGAAAAATACTTTTTTTTGAATATTGATAGCTTAAATCGAGATTTGTTCAATTTAATTAAAGCAAGGTACATAGCGGTCACTGAAAAAAAATCTCTAAAAAAATATTTCTGTTCCACGTTCGAATTTCCTTATGTACCTAGTTGAATCGACCCAACTCATTAAAAAAAAATACGTTTCCGCCTCGGTTTGAATTGATGAAAACAATCAATTCCGGGCTATATATCTCGACACAATGAGTAGTGCAAAAGGGTTTATCCTCATTACCACCGGGTGTTTAGCGAGCTGAGCTTTTGTGGGCCAGTTGTCTGCGCCAATTATGCATTTAACCTCCAAGTTCCCGTCGATTCAGGCAATAATAGATATAGATGTCGAGGCGAGCGAAGTGCAACCAATACAACTCCATTATGGTATTGAAGCCGGCGTTCTATCAGCGTCATTAGGAGCGGCGAGGCCTCACGGCCCTTCCTGTTTAGTATGCGCGTGGAATAGCGGTTGGCGTGACGGCAACGACACAAATGAACTAATCGATCACAATTAAATGTGTGGGACACAACTGCTGTTTTTACAAATCGAGACACAAATCTTTCTCGAGGCGGTGGGCTTTGCACAACTCGTGGATGGAATCCGAATGCGATAGGCGCGAATTACCTACCAATAACGCGAGATCGGTTTAAATAAATGATGACTTCTTTGAAATGCGGAGCTGAAAGATGCGAGAAATGGCGGGAAGGGGATTTGTCAAAAGTTCTTAGTCGGATATGAACGCACATGTCGACAAAATCGAACAATATTTTTAGCTTTAGATTTTTTCTTCAAAGTGTTCTCATTAGTTCTGTTAAACGTTTTATTTTTGTCTGCTTTTAGTAATAAATAATCACAGGGCGACAAAAAAAAGTCATATCGTGACAACTTGACAAGTTTTACATCATTTTGTTCGTCTCAGTGAGACAAATCAAATGCACTAAAAAAAATTTAAAAAGTCCACACACTTCTCATTAGTTCTGTTAAACGTTTTATTTTTGTCTGCTTTTAGTAATAAATAATCACAGGGCGACAAAAAAAAGTCATATCGTGACAACTTGACAAGTTTTACATCATTTTGTTCGTCTCAGTGAGACAAATCAAATGCACTAAAAAAAATTTAAAAAGTCCACACACTTTGAACAAAATATTTTTTTTCTAATTTAAATGAATTTAAAATACTTTAACTTTAAAAAATAATCATTACTCAATAACTATTAGGCCGATTTGCTTCAAATAAAGACCATTCTAAAGGGATTTGAAATTGAATATTAGCAAACTTTTCTTCGAACAGTGTTCGAAGAAGTACGAAGTAAATCAAAATAAACTAAGAAAAACCCTAAGAGTAATTTTTTCATCATTACCATCGTGTAGAGCATCTCTTTATTAGTTGTAATCCAAATTTTCAAAAAAATATACCGAGTAGTTTTTAAGATATGATTTTTTGAAGTTATGGTTTGCTAATCAAGCATTGCTCCATATAAGAGAGGAGAAATGCATATTAATCTAACCTAAAATTGCATTTTTATTAAAGTATTTTTTAAGACTCTTCTTTTGCTTAAAAATGGTAAAAATGGTGCACCTTCTTTGTTCTAATTAGAATAAACAAAAACTGTTTGTTTACTTAAAACAAATAAAGAGTACATGCGTACTAATTAAAGCAAATAAAAAGTTTTTTTGTTGTAAAAATGACCACTGATCATTGAGCAAAGAGGATCTAGAAGTTTAAGGCACGAGCCTTAAATATAAGAGCAAATCTTTTTTAATCAAATCACTTTCCATTCAGATTTCGACTTGTTCACTTTGTTCTAGTTTTCTGAACTTTTTTTGAAAATGTTCTGAGCAAATGCTTTCTCATCATATTGCAAATGCAATAAGTCACCTGACTTATTTTGTTGGTACATTCTTCGATTAGCTTCAATTAGCTTGTAGGCAGTAGTTGTTGTAATGACAGTTGCACACGAAGCAACTGACTTATTGTATTCAACATCAGTAGAAAGTGACGAAAAAGCATTTGCTGAGAACATTTTCAAAAAAAAGTTCAGAAAGCTAGAACAAAGTGAACAGGTTGGAATCTGAAAGGAAAGTCATTTAATTTGAAAAAGATTTGTTCTTATATTTAAAGCTTATTGTTTTAAACTTCTAGATCCTTTTTGCTCAATGATCAGTGATCATTTTTAGAACAAAAAACTCTTTATTTGCTTTAATTAGAACGCAGGTACTCTTTGTTTGTTTTAAGTAAAGAAACAGTTTTTTGTTTATTCTAATTAGAACAAAGAAGGTACAATTGACCATTTTTAAGCCAAAGAAGAGTCTTAAAACAAATACTTTTATAAAAATGCAATTTTAAGTAAGATTAACATGCATATCTCCTATATGGCGCAATACCTCAATAGCAAACCTTAACTTCAAAAAATCATATATTAAAAACTACTCGGTATATTATTTTAAAACTTTGGATTCTTACTATTAATGTTCTACATGATAGTGACGAAGAAAAAAAAATTACTCGTAGGGTTTTTCTTAGATTACTTCGATTTACTTCGAACTTCTTCGAACACTGTTCGCCAATATTCAATTTCAAATTTTATATCATTCTAAAGGGCAAGGCCATCCCTTTAGAATGGTCTTTATTTGAAGGAAATCGGCCTAATAGTTATTGAGTAATGATTTTTTAAAAGTTAAAGTATTTTAAATTTATTTAAATTAGAAAAAAAATATTTTGTTCAAAGTGTGTGGACTTTACAAATTTTTTTTAGTGCATTTGATTTGACTCACTGAGACGAACAAAATGATATAAAATTTGTCAAGTTGTCACGACATGACTTTTTTGTCACCCTGTGTAATACCTTTTTTAAGATAAAAAAAAAAAAACATTGATTTATCCTTTTATTTTTTATTCTTATTGTATGTAGATACAAATTGAAAATTTATCACGAAATATATTTCAAAAACATATACTTACCTAAAAGTTTTGCCTGACACCTAACAGAATGAAAAATTAATATTTATATAAAATGATTGCAATTTCTAATCGTTTGTTATTTTGAAAAGTTTTGCACAACAGACTGCAGAATGCGCCTGACAATCACCAAAAAACAACTTTGGATTGCTGTCATTTTACTAGATTCTGAGAAAATTATTCGCATCTCAACAAACTGATTTTTGATTATCTTGACATATTATAAAATGTATTGGAAACTAATGGTCGTAGCTCATCCGAATTACCTAAATGTGTTTATAAACTACTTTGGTTAGCTATCTATAAAATCGGCTTATCACTTAAAAACTAGTTGTAAAGTAATTTGTTTGCATGATGTTATTATTGTACGATTTTATGTATAGAGAACGTAAAATAACTTTCTGAAATTTGTAGAACGAGGTACAATTATACCACGAAAATGTCTCTTACTTTTTTTAAACAATTAAAGTACGTTTTCTAAATGCAATTAGAGCTTCAAGTGTCTTACTACATGTTTATTTGTGTAAGTATATCACTGCAACATTATCTTTCATAATATAAGCAGTAGGATTATAATGCAAGATCACTAGTGATCCTGTTATTCATCTTGGTCAACCCTAGATATCTCTGTGTCTTCATCCTTCGTATTCCCTCTCTTTACCCTCTCCAAGTAAAACTTAAATTTTTCGCAATCATGGAATTACTTCCTTAATGAAAGGATGTTAAATGAGCGGCAATTAGCATCCGCCATACCTTTTTTGGTGAATTTCCTTTCGCACTTAGCTGATTAGACCCAAGAAATATCAAGCTCGTTAGTCGTAATTTAAATTCGTTTGAAGTTGTCATCGACATATCGGATTTATCTGGTTGCAGGTCGGCCGTCGCAGTTACAAAATTGCACCGTATCGAACCAGTCCTCGGACTCGCTCCAAGTGGATTGTACGGAAGGCTTCGATGGCGGACTTCCTCAGAACTTCTTCATGGAGATTTTGGAACTGCCGGCACTTCGCACCCGACTGAACGTCACTAGTTACCGGACTCCTCCGACGTTTTTCGCCGACGGCCTCGATCCGGGAATGAGCTATCGGATCATGCTTTACGCCGTGAATGCCAAGGGAAGGAGCGAAGCCACCATTATTGACCCCGTCACGTTCAAAGGTGTCGCCAAATTACAGGGTGAGTTTCAATAGTCAAAAGGTTATTATTAAACTTTCCGCTTTGACGGTTAAGAATTCAATAGAAGTTCCTCCGGGAAAGTTTGCCACTTTAATAACGATGAATAAATAATACGACAGGCGCGAGTAAAAAATCGCAAAAAGCGAACAGAATTTTCATCCAACAAACATCGATTTAATGGATAAACATGCAGTTTGTATTCACAAAATTAACTCAATAGGGAAAGGTGAATTATTCCATTTGAATAATCAAATATCCATGATGTATAATTAACAAAATACATGGTTTATTTTTTCCAGAGCCAAGTTTGTACATTTTTATTAATTGGGGTAATAATAATAATTGGAGTAATTGCGCTAAAATTGCTTACCATATATACGAGACAATGAAACGACCGTTAGTGAAATTTTGACTAAACCTCAAACTGTAAAAAGCGAGATAAAAAAGCGCAATAGCAAGCTTAACGGTTCTTGCAGGATTATATTAATCAACATTCATTATCAAGGCGGTTTGAGATGCAGAGGCGTACGTGCTGACAATAAAGAGGAGTTTTTCAACAAGAACAACGGATTTCAATCTTAATAAATCAAATCCAATTTAAGTTTTTATTCCAGAATTTTAGTTTTAAATAACACTTTTTTATCACAAAATAATTTGAAGCAATAAAAAGCTTCGAAACATTTATTTTAAGTAAAACCTGTACATTCAATTATTTCAGATCTTAGCGTTGGTAAAAGCTATATTATTACTCAATAATGCTATTGCACAGTAAGATTTCTAAGGTATGGTCAATACTTTTACAATTCGAATGTAAAATGCAGTTCGAATGTGAATTGGATTTGCCGATCCGAAACGGATTCGACCTAAATAAATCTCACTAAAATTGGTTTTGAAACAGATTTGCACAAAAAAAATGTCATGAACTGAAATCATGTAAAACGCTCTGCTTTGCAATAAATTTTAGGCTTTAAGTTTCGATTTTATTTGCGTATATTTTATAAGAAGCACCCTAATTGTGTCTTGTGCATTTCCTTTGATCCACCCGATCATCCCACTTTAAAAACATAGTGTCCGCTATTGTGCAAACTCTTTGAACCCTCGGCCGCGGTCCTCCTAAAATTTAAATAGGTCTCTTCCCATTTTTGCGTATCGCAGTCCGGCATGGCTCTGTCGTTCTTCATTTCCATATTTTATTCATTCTCATGTATAATTCATTTTTGTCCCCGCCATCTTCCCGCTCCGGTGTCTTCCTGATTCCGGCGGATCGCAAACGATACACGCTCTGCCCTTTGCTCCGGAGGCTATTTCCACGAGGAATCCCAATGCAACCCGCTAACTATAAGCGCTTTTTATCAAGACTTTACCAAACGGAGATGCATGAAAATCTCTCTAATAAAACGGCTGTTATCAACGACAGTTTCGTGTCTTACATCGTGATATCGAAACGCAACAATACCCACAGCCAATTACAGTCGAACGTCACGTAGAGAGACCCTCGGAGGGCAACGCTGGACCGGATGGCCGACTTCAGCCGGAATTCCACATAAAATTCAATGAAAAGAGAGCAAGTCAAAGAGATCACAGCAATTCGATAAATGATTGAAAAGAGTGGGGAGAAGAGGAAGGGAGTGCCATTAGCCAATAGTAACAATTTTTCCCCCACTATTAGGTCACTTTCACGACAATAAATAGATGGACTAAAATGAAATTTGTCAGTGCCTGCTATACATTACTTTTAATTTAAAAACACCAACACCAATAAATAAATATTTCATGAAAGGTTTTTAAATAAGGCCACTGAAAGTTTCTTAAATGAAAACTCCTCCTATTGTCGTTTCCTTTGACGGAAGTAGGCATGTCGCATATTTTTAATAAAAGACCTAACTTTATTAATAAGAAATTCTTTGTGACTTTTTCTTATTACGCCAAAAGTCATTATTTATATCAAAAGCGAGTACATACGTAGTAGCTCCCTCCACTAAATAAAAGACTCACATAAAACCGTACACATAAATCATTCAACACGTTTATGCAAAATTATTCTTTGGAGAATTACAAATTTATTACACCTATAAGTACAAAACTGATGTACATAATTCTGTAATATTTTATCAAAACATAAAACGCAAAACCGGATACAATAAAGAATCCTGTTGATATTTAATTATTCAACTTCTTACCTAGTTCGGTAAAAAACACTTATTTAATTACGCAATAAGAGACATAAATTTCTCAGCTACTCAATGAAAATTTATTTAATATTTTCTCAGCTAGTGGATCAGTACGGATAAATTTTAAATGCGTAAACAGTTGTCTTACATGCTCGGAACAAGCTACCAAGATTTATTTGAAATGTTGAACCAATAAGAATGAAAGCATTTTTTATCAAAAACTTTACGTTCATGTTGATAGAAGGATAAATGGTTGTTGGAAAATTTGTTTACATCCACATCTGCGTTGAAAAATATGAAAATACGTCGCTGCGATCAATACAATTTTAGCAATATTCCCAGCGCCAAATTGAAAAAGTGGAAGAGTCAATTATTAATTTTCAATTCATGTTAAAAAACTTGTTGAAAGCAATTATTTTTAAACAATTTAGTTACATCTCTTTTCACTATTATTGTAACATGTTTCCAGTAAATATAGTTTTTAAAAGCTTGTTGTTTGATGTCATCATAAGTTGTCTACACACATTTAAACCCCTTTTTATTTTGGTGGACTTCTTTAATCACACGTTACCTTCTGGCGGTTTTCCTCTTCCCCGTCAGTGCGTAATTTAGTCACCACATATAAATTAAAATTACTACCATCATAAATCTCCGTCTTTCATTGGAGTAAATTTAACTTTCAGGTTCAACGGCAAGTATGCCTGTTAGTCCCCTAATTATGGGTCTTTTGGGCACTGCCGGCGTGCTGGCGACGGGGGTCTGCCTCGTGTTGGCTGCTCTGTGTCGGAGACACTATTCCAGGCCGTGTTCGAGGCCCGAGGGGGGCACCAAGCACGTACCTATGGAAGCGGTTATTGCCGCTGACGATCTCATCGTTGACGGCTCCGTCACGGGCGTACGCACACCAGCGACTCCCGACGCGGCCATTACCGCCGAAGCCGTAAGAAACGGCACTTCCATAGAGGCCACAGATCCAGACATTATACGAAATCAATATGGTAAGGAAAAAATTGCCACAAATTCGAGTTTGTTTTTTATTCCGTTAAGTAATAATTAAACTTATGGTGCATACATTTCGTCAGTTTTTTCTTTGTGGAAATAAATGCATAAATGGGTCGAGTAATAAAACAGTAAAGTTTTGTTTGTAGCTTTATTGCGCTATTTTCTTGATAATTATTTTGAAGGTTGTAAAATAATAAAACGTAAGAGAAGGTTGTAAACTGGTGAATATTAATTTTTTATTAAAACATTAATTTTGTGGGCTGTACCTACTCACATGTAAGGGGTCAAAGTTTTAATTAAAATTTGTTAATTTGTGAAATTGTAAACCTCAACAACAATATTGATCAGAAATAAATTAAAACTTTATATTCAACAACAAAAAAATAAGCATGATATAAAAATTAAATGTCAGGGCAAATTCTCTATTAAAAATATAATATAATTAAAAAAAAACATCAAAGTTTTTTAAGCTCATAATTTTAACCAACGCAGCGACAATTCAATTATTTTACACAACCTTTTCCCAACTCCCGCTGTTTATCTACATACATTTTGCATTTCCAACATCACTCAACAAAGCGAGCAAAACGTCGGATGACTGAAATACAGCACACATTTATAAAATTTCAAATAAAACTTTTCTAAGAAATCGTAAAATTCTTACAGATTAAAACTGATCATCATTAAAATGGCCCTAAAACAGATGATCACCAATCTCTCAAACATTAAACAATCAATTTATAAAATATTTCGAGTTTACTACTTCACCGGAAAATTGACAACGGTTTTTATTTTCATTCTGTAATATTTAAAATTATTATTCGAGTTTGTTAATAAATACGAGACTGTTTCACCGAATGAATTATTATTTGAAAACTAACATAAATCCAGTTTAACTCAGAAATACTTTGCAATACTTTACCAATTTTAAAAGTTTTAGTAGAGTTTCTCTACGTTCTACTTGTATTCTGTTAAATAAGAGTGCAAGAAATGCAACACCAAAAAATACACATTTTACTGTTTGCAAATTACAAAAAATACATCTTATAGAGGGTTTCGAATAAAAATCGCTTTTGATTTCTAAATAACATTTCGTAAATAAACTCCTTATGCATATTTTTTGTCCATCAGAGCGTCGACCGACCCTCGGATTTATGAAAGTGTACGAACCGCCCGGGTCCAGAGAGGAAGAGGACGTCGAAGACGAAGGCGAGGAGTACGATTTCAGACACGTTGCCAAAGAAACTCACATCCCCAATCAGACCGTAAGTTGGCAAAGTTAGATTGAGACTGAATTATAGCACTGATAAGACGCTCGGTTGGCCATTGTAGGTGTACCGGAGTCTGCAAAGGCCCGGACGAAACCCCGCAAACCCCATTCCGGGCACTCAGACCTTGACGCACAAGTATCGAGGGCCCGAAGTCATTACGACGTCGAACCGAATACAGGAGAGCTGCATATAAATGTAATTGTTTTTATCATGTATTATATTAATGTATTTAAAATAAATAAAAGCGGACTTTCATGTCCTCGGAGTTTTATTTCAAAACAAAGACAATGAAAAAATATGATATGGCGAAAATAAAAACACAAACATTGAATATACACTACAGAACTCGAACTTGTTGCTGGCAGAAACAAAAACTAAAATTTATCCAAGTACTTATTACGTTTTGTAAAGCTAAAAACATTAAAACCGACTTGCAAGAATTTTCTAGGCAAAATCAAGAGATACTTCACCCTAAAGATAGAGTAAAAAATTGTATAACCACTTATCGTAGAATTCTCTTATCGTATCCACACTTGAAATATAAAAAATATTTATTTAGTAACAGTATTTTAATGATATAAAGTATAACATATATTTCAAGATGAAGTAGGTATATCTGACGTGAGCATTTATTGGTACGTCGGACAAGATTATTACACTTTTAATGTGGCTGTATTACGAGTATCTTTCAAATATTTAAATTCATTTTCCATTGAGCTTTGCTAATATAATACAATAACAGCGCGAAACATGGACCGACAAGGCCGTTAGGCCGAGTTAGTGTATATTGCGCGCCTCTATCCTATGTGTTACCTACAAAACATTACCTACGACTGCCTAATTAAAAAATTAATTAATTTTTAAACTAAATTTAATAGAATCGTTATTTATTACAACTTCTTGTACTTAGTCTGTCATCAACAACTTGATAAAATAACCTTGAGTTTTCACAGAATGTTGAAAGTAAAGTTAAATTGTCTCTAAATTATTTAGGTTATTGTATTTAACACTTGTTAAAGTGAATTAGAGCGCAAGTTTACATTAAATAATGACGTAAATCCAAATGATCTCCCATATAAATGCCGCATTCAATATTTAAGTGTATTTTGAGATAAAACTTCCAACATTTTAGCGAAGCTATCAATATTTTATTATTCCAAGAAAAGCATAAACTTTATTGCACTTGTGCAATTTTTCGCGATTCGACTGACGTAACTTTACTGCTCGCATGTAAATCTATAATTACGGTTTTTTGTGTATTGTGATTATTACATTGCTCGCTTTGCTTCCGTATATATTGTACTTGTATATACAGTAAAAATATTTATACGTTATAAAATGCAACGTTTTCGTAGACATACATAAATTTGCTAACTTTACAGCTTCCTGTATAACTTCTCACAATTCAACTTTATTCCCGATTCTATACTTACACTATAACATTACCTTAGCACATTTGAATGGCTTCGAGTGACGCAAAAAGAGGCGAATAAGCTATTAAATACAATGACCCGGCGCATCCACCATTTTTTGAATTTGGCAATTGTAGTTTCAAACAACACAAAACAATTAGAGTGCATTCATAAAGCGTGAGTAGTGTAAAAAATGGTTATTTTAATGCTGCACGCCATCCGATCGCGGGTATTATGTATGAGGGTCCTTTATGCCTGCCTCCATATTTGTACCGTTGCTTTCGATAAAGTGGACTCTACAAGAGTTACTTTGTGTTTTTATGTTATCATTTGATCGCACACGTTGCGGTTTCTTGTTTTATAGCATTCCTTTTACGCGTGGATGCAGCTCGCCATTGTATATATTAGAAAGGCTCACCCGCCTTTATTCGTTTTTGGCCAATATTAGACTGCGTCAAGAAAAAAATACCGATATTGAAATAAATTGTCGCTTTACCGCACAAAAAACTTGTGTCAATATCCACATTAAAATTGATGAACGTCTCTGCTTTTAACGCGATAAGACCGCGATCATATTGCTCACGTACATTCTTTCAGAATAAGTGGTTTACCTTCGCTCGAGTCATTCCATTTACATACGTGATGTAATAAAACCCATTTCCCGGTCCCTTTAGAAGTTTTGTTTTCGAAAGAGGTGTGCGTGGACAAACTTAAACAGTTTTGCCTACAAGTCTAAAAAAGTTTACATGTAGATATAAAAATTGTCAATAGGAAAAACTAATTGAGATGATTACAGAATCACTTCACCAAAAACCGTATTTTCCACAAACGTAATTTCAGTTTATATACAGTTGTGGTTAAGTTACACAAGTGCAAAGAGAAACGTGTGAAGGAAACCGTAATAAAGTGTCAGTACTGCAGTCGCAGAGCTTTAATACATTCACAATTTAGGTTTCTAAAAAAGTATGTAGTTAAGAAATATTAAGACAATTTCACAGTATTAAGAGTACTCGTAATTAGTTTCTTTAATCCATAGATACATACATAATTACTTTCTACAACAAATTTATTTCCCATTGAATTTCTTTCAAATTAACACAAAATTTGATATGTCTGTGATAGCACAAAAGGTTTTGCAAATATGTCACAATCACAAATATCTACTTTTTTTATAGAAAACAATATGTATTATAACTAAACCCTAGTGACAAATTAAAGAAAAAAGAAAACCTATTAATTGAAAAAGAAAAAAGTTATAAAAGTGACTATTTATACGTTTGAAACAAGATAGAAGCCTCAGTTAGCCCATTTTCTCACCAATCCAGTGTAGGTACACTTAAATTAGTCTCTTTGTAATCTATCACAAAAGTTCTTTTCATTTTTCTCTGAAAATAGTCCACGGTATTTGATTTCCCGAATCCATTGTGTCTGTCTGTTTGCTTCAAACACACATAACTTTCGATTTCCTTTGCTTCGACGTTATCTTTGTTTACTTGTTTATGATTGTTTGTATGCTCAAATATGATTATTTACGGCTTTTCATTAATTCCAGTCTTTCTTTAGCAGATGTGAAAATTGTACGAAACGGACGCGCAATCACACCCGCCACATGTGAGAGCTTAAATATTTTTATATTTCTGTCATCCGAGCGCATTTGTGTGTGTGTTTAATCCATCCCCGTCATAAAGTCGATGGAATTGAAATTTAAATTAAAAAAAGCTCGCGTATTAATCCGGTCGAATTCCGGCGTTATCCTTTAAACGTTCGGCCGCTTGAGCACTTCTCTGAAATCTATTTGTCGACATTGTGCGTCGCATAACTTATTAAGACGTCCTCGAAGAGGAAGCGCTTTACATAAGCGCGTGAATGCGAAAAAAACGGAACAAATATTTAAAAAGGGAAGTTATAAGCAAATTTCGTTCTTTCATGAGGGTTTCGACTAAAACGAGGTATTCATCTTGGCCAGATTGGACTTATCTGATGCGGAAGCGTGTAATCAAATTCAATTTCAGGCCTGAACTGGAGAAGCCAAAGGGTGACACCGATAATCTCTAGTTCTGTTAACACTAAGATGTTCGCTTGAATATTTACTTTCGTCTCTTTCGAAGAGGCTTTTAACTCGGAATATCGACCCCGTCAACTCGAAAAACAACATTGTTGCTCTAACTAGATAAAAAAAAAAATTGTCTTCATAAATCATAAAAATGCCATCGCAAATGTTAATATTTCATACTTTAAACAAAGCATGCAGGAATGTATTTGTGTGGTTGGATCTTCGCCGCAATTTCCAGGACCGTATTAATCTCAAGAGGGAGACACACTCATTTTAACTCCATAATAAAAGCAAATTAACTTTTGCTCGTATACACCCATAATTTGACCTAATGAGGCTTAGAAAGATTTATTCTCCAACATTAAAATGTCAATAATTATTCATGTTATTAGCCTATTTAAACTCGGGCGATCATTATGCAGTTCACTTAATAGGGGATTAAAAAGATCAATAATGTTTAAGTATTTAAGGAGCCTAATCACCATCAATTTTTCCAAAATAATAGACTCAAAAATAATTTTTATTGAGATAACAAAATCATAAAAAAACTCAACCTTGTAATCTACAAAAAAAAAGCACAAAAACCGATTTTTTGATTAAAAACATACCCAAATCGTAAATATTTTCCAAAGAAAAGATAAAAAACATCTACATCCATCATTCACCAAAAATATTATCGTAATTTAACTATGTATGTACATATCTTTATTATAAAATTAATTGTGTTTCACTTCACTTCAACATTTAAATTTATAAACAAACTTTGCATGTTTACTTTTTTATTGTAATCGGCTGGAATTTGACCTACCCAAATTTTTACAAAAATCGGTCGTAAAGACCAAAAATCGGCCGTAAAGCGGCCTCAAAATTATACGGTTGAATTCATGGGGATAAAAATTATCTAGAATGTGACACTGACGCAAACGCTAGGTTTGCTACTCGGATTTCCAAGGTCGCCGTCGTAAGGATGTTTTCTAGATAAGTGGGATAAGGAAAGTTGTGTGATGTTCACACCAGATTCTTTATTTTTACAAAACCTATGTTTTTGTATTAGTACGCTCAAAAAATAGCTACTTTACAGACTTATTTTAAGTCTTTAAAATGGGTCTTCCTCGGAGTCAGTAATAAATAATAAAATTCCTAAATACCTAAAATGCAGTTTTTGCGGACGACGAAAAAAACATGTGCTATAATTTTGGTGGCATGGTAATTAAAATCCGAAGCTCACTATTTTCTAAAAATATTTGTTCTGAACACATCATTAATAACACATAATAGGAGGTTTGAATGTGTTTTTGGTAGCTTTAACAATAAAAAATATTTTTTGTACATACCTGTGTACTCACCTACTATACTGAGAAGCGATTCATCCGTATCAAAAACTTTATTTTAGGTACTTGTAACAAATTAACAAAATAACTATTTTAAACAATTTTTACTTTCAAGAAAAAAAATCCTGCCCATAAATATCTTATAGACATGTCCACTCGGCGTTTTTTCTCTTAATTTTGACAAATTGATGTTCTGAAACTTTAGACTTTTTGTTGTTTTCACACGAAATATCTTTTGATAATTTGATGTGAATAATGTTTTAAATGTCAAACTAGTTACCACAAGCACGATCGTATATCGCAATAAGTGAAATCTTTTTCACAACCAGTGTTAAACAAATTGAAAAAAATATTTTGATACACTAACCTTCCTATTCAATTTCGCTTCCTCTATTGTCAAAGCAAATATCTGTAAAAAATAATCTTTTCTAAGCCAACGACGAAACTTGTCCAATTTACAGAA